GTTCTGATCTTACTGTAAATACTGTTACTGCTATAATAACATGTATAAATGTTGAACATATGTCAGCTTCACTAAACATTTAAAACAGTTAATAAAACCCAATTTAATTCAGTTTATTTATACAGCACCATCCGCAACACAAGTCGTCTCAACATTCGCATAAAAAAAACAGAGTTAGAAGAACGTTCTGATGCTGCTCAATGATCAGCTCGAAAGCTCTAAAAAGGCAGAGTCAGGTCCTCTGGACGGATTCTTCTTCTTGAAACGTTTCGTCTTTTATCCAAAGGACTTCTTCAGTCTGAGGAGCCGCTACAAACTCAGTCTCATAAGCAGCACCGTCTCATAGTGGATGCACCAGTTTAAGGGTGACACCATGAACTAGCTGTTCACGTGCAAAAGGAGGACCGTCAGCCCAACAATAGATCGTTAGAGCCCTGATGGCCGCTTGCTATTCACAGAGGGCTGAGTGACACTTGGTACTGGTGGATCCACTATAGCAAGCGGCCATCGGGGTATTGCGGCTTCGGATGTTATCAGTCCATTAAATGGACGTTATTAGTTGTTATCATTCCCATAGGTAGCGTTCAGACTGTTCCCTCCTACCTCCTAGTAGGTTTCAAGTTACGTTTTTATCGGTGATAATATGCATCGCGGCTCGCGTGTAAAACCAGAAGTGTATTTTAGTTAGCTTTATGCAACACTTTTCCTAAACCTAACCTTACACCTGACCCAGACCACTGACCGTAAACCTAACCCCCAGACCTGTATAAAACATAACCCCCAGACCCATGACTCTTAACATAACCACGTGACTGTATTATCAGCGATAAGAAAGTACTTTTAAACCTACTAGGAGGCAGAGGAGGGGCAGTCTGAACACTACATATGGGGCTGATAACAACTAATAATGGCCATTTAATGGATGATAACATCCGAAGCGGGTGAACAGCTAGTTCTGGGTGTCTCCAGCAGCCTGGTTGATCCACTAGAAGAAAGAGAAGAGAAGGTGCTATTTATAAGACTGAGTTTTGTGCAGCTTCTCAGCCTGAAGAAGTCTTTTGGATAAAAGACGAAACGTTTCAACAGGAAAAATCGGTGCTTGTAGTTTCTATGGTCCAGGTGAAGTTTTCCATGAGAGGGAAAACATGTTAATGATAGAAATAATCAAAAGTACAAACATGGAGTAGAGCGAGTAAAGAGGGAGGAGACGTGGTCAGTTTGTCCTCCGGCAGTCTAAGCTTATAGCAGCAGAACTAAGGGATACATCAGGAAACCCAAGCCAACCCTAACTATGTGTCAAAAAGGAAAGTCTTAAAAGTAGTCATTGTGTCAGCTTCACGAACAGAAACTGGAAGATGGTTCCACAAGAGAGGAGCCTGATAACTGAAAGCTCTGCCTCCCATTCTACTTTTAGACTCTAGAAACCACAAGTAAACCTGCAGTCTGAGAGTACAGTGCTCCATTTGGAAAATATGGAACAATAACAAGGAGCTTGGTTGTTGAGAGTTTGGATTTTAAAAGTAAGATTATTTTGGACACCCACATAATAAAAATCTCATAGTCTAGCCTTGACGTGATTCATTGACCATGGTTTTTTTTTTTTGCATCATTTTGGGACAAGTTGTTGCTAATTTTAGTGGAAGATACATTAGAAATGTCAAACAGGCCCTAGACCTTGAATCACTTGCAGAATTAGCTTTAATGTAGGATATGAGATCAAAACAAAAAATCTTCAAGTCAGAGTCAGAATTCCTTTTTGACGAAAATCTGGTCCAGGACCTTCATCGTCAAATCAAATCAAAAATACTTTATTAATCCCTAAATGTTGTTGTAGCTCATTCTCCTGGTTTCATTAAAGAGTTGTTAGATGGTGATGGCTGTGGATAGGAAGGATCTCTTGTGGTGGTCTGTCTTACAGCAGATCTGAAGAAA